TGAGCTGCGAGTGCTTTTACCTTCTGAGCCATCTTTCTAGCCCTGAAACCAACCAATTTTAAAATGGGCAAAAACAGAAAAAGGTAACTCACCAAAGAAAAAGTTGAGTATCATTGAGTCATTAGAGAAATGGAAATTAAAATGCTACTCCATAACTATTAAAACGGCTAAAACATAGTGGAGACAGGGCTGGGAGGACTGCTCAATGGTGAGTGCGTCTAGCATGTATGAGACCTGTTTCCCAGCCCCCAAAAAAGAAAACAACGGCAATACAAATGCTGACATGGATACAGAACCACCAGAGTTACTGTATGTGGCTGGTGGGGATGCAAACTGGTGCAAGTACCCTAAAAGAGTATTATTGAGGGGGGGAGTGTGTGTAGGGGGGTGAGGGGTATGTGTGAGTTTGTGTGGTGTGTGTGGGGGTGTGTGTGGGTATGGTGAAGGGTATGTGTGAGTTTGTGCAGAGTGTGTGTGTGTGAGTGGTGAGGGATATGTATGAGTTTGTGTAGTGTGTGTGTGTGTGTGTGTGTGTGTGTGTGTGTGGTGAGGGGTATGTGTGAATTTTGTGGTGTGGGTGTGGGTATGTGTGGTGAGGGGTGTGTGAGTTTGTGTGGTATGTGGTATGTGGGGGTGAGGGGTATGTGTGAGTTTGTGCAGTGTGTGTGTGTGTATGTGTGTGTGTGTGGTGAAGGGTATGTGTGAGTTTGTGCAGTGTGTGTGTGGTGAGGGGTATGTGTGAATTTGTGTGGTGTGGGTATGGGTATGTGTGGTGAGGGGTGTGTGAGTTTGTGTGGTGGGGGGTGAGGGGTATGTGTGAGTTTGTGCAGTGTGTGTGTGTATGATGGGGGTATGTGTGAGTTTGTGCAGTGTGTGTGTGTGTGTGTGTGTGTGTGTGTGTGTGTGTGTGTGTGTGATGGGGGTATATGTGAATTTGTATGGTGTGGGTGTGGGTATGTGTGGTGAGGGGTGTGTGAGTGTGTATGTGACTGTGAGGGGGCTGAATAAGAGGTATGTCTGCATGCCACAGCACTCATGTGGAGGTGAGAAGACGACTTTGTGAACTCAGTTTTCCCTCCCAACTTCCATGGGTCCCAGAAACCAAACAGAGGTTGTCGGGCTTACACAGCCAACCCTCTTCCCACTGAGCATCCATCCCACCAGCCCTGGTAATATTTTTATAAAGTTAAACATGTGATTACAACACATACTAGGAATCTCACTCCTGGGTATTTACTCTAAGGAAATGAAGGCTTAAGTTTATACAAAAAACCTCTGCAAAGTTGTCCATAGCAATTCTACTCATAATTGCCAGAAACTGGAAAAGTCCAAATGATGTCTAGTAACAAATGGATAAAGAGCAAAACTGTAACATCCATGAAGTAGAAGCCAACTCAGGGGAGTGAGGATGGACCACGGACTCTACAGCCCGGGGACGCTCACACACACCCTAAGTGAGGATGGACCACGGACTCTACAGCCCGGGGGACGCTCACACATACCCTAAGTGAGGATGGACCACAGACTATACAGCCCGGGGACACTCACACATACCCTAAGTGAGGAGTGGACTGCAGATCTATACAGCATGGAGGAAGCTCACACATACCCTAAGTGAAAGAGGCCTGGGTCAACAGCCTATCAGATGATTCCATGAACATGACATTCAGGAAGACAAAAATGAATACCACTAGGATGGGAAAAGCACTCGGAAAGGGCTGTCTGTGGCCATGAGCCTGCTCTAGATTTCAACAATGATGACAGTCACAGAACTCTATGCATTCTAGAGACCCTAGCTCTAAATAAGCAAATCAGAATCCATACAAATTAGAATCCAAAGCTAATTTCACTATTAAGATAATTCTGAATACAATTTTAATTTTTAATCCTTCCATCCTGGCAAACTAAGAAAAGAATTTTTTAAGAGTTTTTTTTTAAGATTTATTTATTTATTATGTATATTATACAGTGTTCTGCCTGGTCCCTGCAGGCCACAAGAGGACACCAGATCCTCCAGGTTGTGAGCCACCATGTGGTTGCTGAGAATTGAACTCAGGACCTCTGGAAAAGCAGTCAGTGCTCTTAACTGCTGAGCCATCTCTCCAGCCCCCCAAAAAAGAATTTTTTAAACTTTGAACTTTTAAGTAGACCATCTATATTTAAAAAAAAAAAAATCTCTCAAGAACAAAAGAAAGAAAAACTATGCTGGACGGTGGTGGAGCGCATCTTTAATTCTAGCACTTGAGAGGCAGGGGGCAGGTGGATCTCTGAATTCGAGGCCAGTCTGGTCTACAGAGCGAGTTCCAGGACAGCCAGGTCTACACAGAGAAACCCTGTCTTGAAAAAAGAAACAAACAAACAAAATCTCCCAAGGCTCAGAAAACAGAAAGGAGAGGAAGAGAAAGATTCAAAGAGCTAAAGGTCCAGGGGCTGGAAAGATGGTTCAACAATTAAGAGCATTGGCTGCTCTTGCAGAGGACTCAAGTTCAGTCCCAAGCACCCACATGGTGGCTGAGGATATCCAATAACTTCAATTCAAGGGGACCCGTTCTCCTCTTCTGGCCTCCACAGGCACTGTACACGGGGTGCACTTCCATATAGGCAATACACTAATACACATACAATTAAAAATAGATAGATCTTTCAAAAGAAAAGAGATAAAGGTCCAGAGACAAACAGGATCTCTGTACATCAGTATCTAACGCAGACATTAGCTCACAGCAGCTACGGCAGCCTGCAAAAGACCCGCACAAGGGAAAAGCAGGGGACACTCCAGCAGAGGGGAAGCTGAGGGCTACTGACGGCCGATGGCTGCCGGCGAAGGAGAGTCAGTCTTCTTTACGGGGTACGGTCCCCTGGTAGGTCGAGCATCTCCATCCCCAGTCTCTGCAACCCCCCCTTCAGTGTGTATGCGTGCAAGTATGCGAGCAAGAGTGTGTGCGTGTGCGTGTGTGTGTGTGTGTGTGTGTGTGTGTGTGTGTGTAAGCACCCACACCACAGCACACACGTGGAGGACAGAGGTCAACTTGCAGTAGTCAGCTGTCTCCCTCCACCATAGAACCCAGCATTTGCCCTGAGTTTGTCAGGAGGGGCAGCAAGCATCTTTCTCCCACCCTCTCCCTCACCAGCCTCTGGGAGATGCTTCAGCAAACTTGGTTGAGAGAACTAGCGTTGTACGTGTTAGGCTGCACCATCTGGTGCATGAAACACATTCGGTATCTTTTTAAGCTTCTTTATAGTTGTGCTTATACCTTGCCTTGAAACGGCTGTTCAAAATGTGACTGATATGCAGAACCTGCAAGTGCTCAAAAGACAAGAGACTCGAGAATACTACAACCGACCAAAACCCTTCCTCACAGCGTCCCACTCCATCACGTGTCCTAGGTTTCCTGTGGAACACACTTTGTAATGAGGAGCCTGGAAATGGAACGTCTGCCTCTTTTATTCTCTCCTGTGACAAAAACAACACAGGAGAAGAACATCTAATATTGGCAAAAGCTGGGAAAGAAACCTAAAGACAATTTTGCATGGGAGCACATAAATTTCTTGAAGATAATTTGGGAAAAGACTCAAACACACACACACACACACACACACACACACACACACACACACACACACACATGCCTTTTCCACTTCTAAGAATTCAAGTAAGAAATGAATCAGACTACTCAGGACAGCGTCACTCCAATAACAAAAAACAGAAAGATAAAGACTATGTTAAATGGAATACTTAGTAGCATTCAAAAACGGAAGTTATTGGAGCCGGGTATGATGACACACCTTGTCATCTCAACTACACAAGAGGCTGGTGTAGGAGGACTACCTGAGCCCAGGAGTCTCAGAATAGCCTGGCCTGGGCAACACAGCCAAAGCCCCTGTCACAGAAAAAAAGGAAGGAAGTGGGGTGGGTGGGGAAGGGAAGGGAAGAGAAAAGGCAAGAAGCCACTTGAAATCTACGTCACGACTTTAGTCATGACTGCTGGAATTTCATTTTGATCTCCAAAGAACAGCTGAAAGATCGAGGTTTTTGTCCATTGACAATTATTCATGACAGAATGCTGTTTCAAACAAAGCAGAATATAAAATCATACATAATCCAACTTGGTTTGGTTTTTTGTTTGTTGGACAGGGTCTCGCTATTTAGCTCAGGCTAGCTTCCAACTCAAGCTCCTCCCCCTTTCAGCCCCTGAGTGCTATGGGATCTGTAATTGCTTCACGACCTTTACTCCTTTCGCTTTCTTTCTTTTTTTTTTTTTTTTTTTTGGTTTTTCGAGACAGGGTTTCTCTGTGTAGCTTTGCGCCTTTCCTGGAACTCACTTGGTAGGCCAGGCTGGCCTCGAACTCACAGAGACCCGCCTGGCTCTGCCTCCCGAGTGCTGGGATTAAAGGCGTGCGCCACCGCTACCACCACCCGGCTCCTTTCGCTTTCTAACTTTTTGGTTTTGGTTTTTAAAAAGTCTCACTAGTTATCCCGGACTGACCTTGAACTCTAGATTCTCTTGCCTCAGCCTCGGAATGCTCAGATTTCAAGCATGCCCCACCATGCCCGGTTAAAGTTTGCTTGTCTGTTATCATCCTAGTAACAGAACTTTACTGTTCTAGAACCGTTATAAAGGTAGACTTATTTACCGTTTATGTGTATGAGTGTGGGGCCACTGTGTGTGTATGGTGCCCACAGAAGCCAGAAGAGGCATCCCTTGGAACTGGAGTCATAGGCAGCTTTGAACCACCATGTGGATGCTGGGAACTGAACCTAGGTCTTCCGGAAGAGCAGTAAGTGCTCCTAACCTCTGAGCCATCTGTCCAGCCCTACAGTTCTATACACCAATTTGTCTTTATCACAGTACTAACCCCAAAGGAGCCACAACTGCCTGGAGACAGAAGATCAGCAATAATAGTGCTTCCCTCAGAAGATCAGCAATAATAGTGCTTCCCTCATCCCACCACCCAGTTTGAATTATGAACCATTTCTTAAAAAGATTTTGTTTTCTACTTACCATGGAGCACTTCTCCAGCACTTCCTTCTGGAACTTCAGAAATCTTTCCTGAACTTCAACTTCATTGAGAAAAAAGGCCAGGAAGTGAGTGAAGGGCTGCCTCCTTCTGAATGTGTCCAGGAGAACATCAACCCGCGTTCGGGCTGAAATTACACCATTTCGATGCTGACCAGTGATCACTTCATGCAAAGAAAAAAAAAAACGTTACCGGGCTCAAGAACCCACAGTGCTTGACAGGTAGACGCCATCTGACACGATCATCTCTGGGGATCTATCTGAAAGGTCTCCCTCCCATCACGGATATAGCAGTGGCACCAAGGTGAAGAAAACTGCTAGTGAAGTCGATATAAACAGAATACACTTGAAAATGGAGGATCTGAGGCTGGGGAGGTAGCCTGGGGAGGTCAGTCAAGTGTTTGCAGCACAAGCGTTAAGACCTGAGTTTGGGTCCCCAAAACCCAAATAACAATTGGGTGTGGAGAGCACATCCGTAATTCCAGTGCTTGGGAGGCAAGAGACAGAGGGGTCCTGGGGCTCACTGGCCAGTCAGTCTGGCCAGACCAACAAGTTTCAGGTTCAGTGAGAGACACTATCTCTAAAATAAACAAATAATAAATTATTAAGACGGAGATCAACTGAGGAAGAAAACACTTGATATCAACCTCTGGCTTCCACATGCACAGATGCATGCATACCCACAGGAACACGTGAACACACACTACACACACAGGAACATGTGCACGGCTCTCTCTCTTTCTCTCTCTCTAAGTATCTTAGCCAGGAATGGTAGCACATGCCTACAATCCAAGCACCTGGGAGATAGAGGCAGAAGAATGAGGAGGAGTTCAAGGCCAGCCTCGGCTACACAGTGAATTTAAGGTCAGTCTGGGCCACATGACACCCTGTCTAAAAAGAGAGGGGTTGGGGGGACCAGTGAGATGCTCACTGTTGTCAAGCCTGACGACCCAAGTCCAACCCCAGAACCCACATACTGGAAGGAGTCAACTCTGGTAGATTGTCCTCTGAGCTCCACACACGTGTCATGGCACTGTATGTACCCACACACGGACACAGACATACACACACACACAGAGCAAATAAATATAATTTAAAAAATTGGAAGGTTGGATACATTTCTGCACATCTGTAATAAATAAATCAAAGCAATTAGTGCAAACATAAATTATGTCTGTCTTACCAATCTCTCCTCCATGTCCAGGTTTAGGGACGTTAATAGATGTCTTAGTCTCCACTTCAATTTTCTTCTTGGTATCCCCTCTCTTTCCAACTATGTGTCTAGAATATGAAAAAAAAAATACATATTTAAGTTCCACATGACCAGAGACACTCCCTAATAGAAATACACTTCAGTGAAAGTACAGTATTAGTAGAGAGGACTGCAAGTCACTATGCTTTATATAGAACATGCTCCCTTCACTCCCAGGCAATTGATGCCATCACTGACTCAGTGCGGAAACAGAAGACCCATGGCAGCAGGCAGGGCACTGTCAGCAGTGCCTGAGAGCTCACATCTTATCCACAAACACGAGGCAGAGTGTAAGTAAGACTGCTCCTGGTGTGGGCTTTTGAAACTTCAAAGCCCAGCCGAAGTGGCACACCTCCTCCAACAAGGCCACACCTCCCAATCCTTCCTAAACAGTCCACCCACTGGGAACCAAACACTCAAATATATGAGCCTATGGGGACCATTCTCATTGAAAACACCACAAAGGGTAAAGAGCTTTGAAAAGAGATCAGGAGTTACCATTCAGATAGTTGGTAGAGCACAAAAAGAACCATGCTTCCTGAGATCTGGAATCAGCTTTCAGGAGGCTGGGGCAGGAAGACCACTAGTTCAAGACTAGCCTGGGATACACAGAGAGAGAGAGAGAAAGAGAGAGAGGAAGAAAAGAGGAGAAACAGGAAGTAAACATGTGACCCTAAATTAAGTACAGCACATACTCATGTTTTAAGAGATCTCACCACAAATATATAATATTGTTATTGTCATACATATTATACACTGTAAGTTTTTGTTCGTGTACAGGTTTGAATACTAACAATCTGATAACTCACAGCAACCAGAGTGGAGACGACTTTCAACCTCCCGCTGCAAATGGGACAAAGCCGTGACAACTCCTCCCAGCCCCTCCCAGCCATCATCTACCCCATTTCAGCCACTTACTCCTGACTGGTTTATAGTCTTCGCCTGGGCCTCTAGTATAAATAATCCTGACAAGCCAAGGTTATCTTCCAGAAGCCAGAGTATTGGAAGTGCTAACATGAATGAGACTACTAGATCCCACTATACAGAGTCTATACAGCACTATCACAGGATGATAAAGTTAACGGAAAGACCTCCCTGTTGTCAATGTTATTTCACCTTCTACGATTTCAATTACACACCCAATGCCACAGGTAACTGTGTCTAAAACTATTCTTTTAGCGAAGTGTTTGGGAACTGAACCTGAGACCTCACACATACTTCACTGCTTGAGCTAGCTCCCGGCCCTTAGTCAATTGTCTTTACATGGAATAATAAAGCCTAATCATTTCCACTAAGATCTGCTGTAATAGGTCAGTTTTTTTCAACAATGAGATGTTCAGCTGGGGATACAGCTCAGTGGTAGAGCACTTATCCGGCAATGTGCCAAGATGCCCTGGGTTTCATCCCAAGCCCTGCAAAACCTTGACCCATAGAAATGAAATAAGAAATCTTATGGCGTACATGTGGTGCACACCTGTAATCTCAGCAGCTGGGAGACTGAAGCAGGCAGACTGCGGGTTCCAGGTCAGCCTGGGCTACATGGAGCCCTATTAGAAGGGGAGGGAGAAGAAGAAAGGAAAGGGTGGGGGTCAGGGGGGTCTCTTCTCAGCGAATGTCACCTACTAATTAGGACCTAGTAGGACCAACATCTGATCTAATATCCGTGTGTTCACCAGGAACACAAGCACTTTAGAGTCTACAGAATCCAAAAGGCCATCAGGAGAATTAGACATTAAGGAACTTTCACACACCTCGGCAGTAGGACCTATGTACAGTGAGACATGATACTCTCATTTTGTTTTTCAGGAAGCTGAGTCATGTCATTCTGAAATCATGTCTCCTAGGAGAAAATGTCATCAGAGCCTAGGAAGACAGTGAGTGAGCTGTCACGGTTGGCTTTGCTTTCCCATCTGGCTACATTCAAGGAGAATTTTATCCACAGTAGGTATTTCAGAATGTTCTCAAGGAAGAAACTATTAGAGTTCAAATGCATTTGGTTCCATATTTGTAACTTTCCTCTGAGTGGACCTAACTGATCCAGTTTAACAGGAAAACAGCATGGCTGATGGACTTTTTAGACCAGCTGATCTTCCCAGGCAAGTCCCAAAGAAGCCAGTTAGCTTCTGACAGCATTCTATTAGTGGTTAGTGTGGGGGAGACCACGAGAGAGCATGCACACAAGCACATGCTGAAGTGACCAGAAGTCCATAAGCGATTCACAACAGTGATCCTCGAAAAAGCACAACAGTCTCGGTAAGGCACTAAGGATTAATGGAACAGACAAGTTCCCGCCTCCAAGAGGCTTCCCATCTGCAGAGGGGGCAACAGGCAACACACCAATACATACAAACACAGACTATGATAAGTGCTACAAACCACAGGCAGAGGTATCATAAAGACACACAGTAGGATTATCAGTGATTGGCAGGGATGGCTGGGGTCAAATCAAGCTTTTCTAAGAAGGAGAATAGAACCAGGTAAGAAAGAGGAAAGAGTGAGGCAAAAGACACACCACACACATAAATTCAGAGGCTGGAAAAAACACAGCACATGTGAGGAACTGAAAATACCAGTTGGGAGTTCTAACCTTGAACACAAGGCAGAGAGAGACCTAAAGCAAAGAGAAAATAAAAGTAGAATCAGCTAGGGCATATTCACGATTTTGGCCATGACTTTAACGACCCAGAACTCCATCTCTAGTGGAAAACCACCGACAAGAGTTTTTAAATGTATTATTAGTGTGAATGTGTGTGTACACCTAAGTGCATCTGTGGGCACGCCCACCACAGCACATTACATGGAGGTCACAGAAAAACTCCGTGAAGTCAGTTCCCACCTTCCACCTCTACAAAGGTTCCGGGATGAAACTCGGGTAGCCAGGCCTGTGTGGTAAGTGCCTTTTCTTGCTGAGCCATCTCAGAACCCCACAGAGGGCTTTTCAGCAGAAGCGGTAAAAGAATCAGATTTCCCTTTTAAAAAGATCATTCCGAGCCTGTGGAGGTGATGCACATCTGTAACCTCAGCAAATGGAAGGCTGAGGCAGGAGGATCAAGAGTTCCATGTCAGCCTTAACTATAAAGCAAGACCAAAAAAAAAAAAGAAAAATGAAAGCTAGAGAGATGGCTCAGTGGTTAAAAGCACTGGCTGCTCTTCCAGAGGACCTGGCTTAGATTTCTAGCACTCACAAGGAGGCTAGTAACTCCAGGTCCAGGAAATGCCTGGACCTGGCCTCCACAGGCACTGCATACACACAGTGAACAGACAGACAGGTAAGACGACTCACATTAAAAACAAATCTCAAAAAAATTGTTTCTAAATCATACCACTTTCAATGTGAAGGACTAAGAAAAAAGCAGGAGCCGGGCGGTGGTGGCACACACCTTTAATCCCAGCACTCGGGAAGGCAGAGGCAGGCGGACCTCTATGAGTTCGAGGCCAGCCTGGTCTACAGAGCGAGATCCAGGACAGGCGCCAAAACTACACAGAGAAACCCTGTCTCAAAAAACAAAAAAAAAAAAAGAAGAGAGCAGGAAAGACCATTGGAGCTATTTTAAGAAATCCACAGAGAGACTGAAGAGATGCTCAGTGATTATTGCACTTGTTGCTCTTGCAGAGGACCTGGGTTCAGTTGTCAGTATCCACACCACATGGCTCACAACTACCTGTTACCTCCAGTTCCAGAAGATGCAATAAATTCTTCTATCCTCCTTAGGCACCACACACAGGTAGTGTACATACATACATACATGTAAATATTCACATAGACATATTAGATAAATATTTTTTTTAAGATATCCATAGGAAAAAAGAGGTAGCAGTGAAAATAAGGGTAAATGGTAGCTCCAAAGGGCATTTAAAAGTGAAAGTCAACGGGCTGGAGAGATGGCTCAGCGGTTAATCAGCGGTTAAGAGCACTGACTGCTCTTCCAGAGGTCCTGAGTTCAATTCCCAGCACCCACAGGGTGGCTCACAACCATCTGAAATGAGATCTGGCGCCCTCTTCTGTGTTCTAAATAAATAAATAAATAAATAAATAAATAAATAAATAAATAAATAAATAAATAAATGTGAAAGTCAACAGGATGTGGCCATAAACACAGGATGATTACATTAATCTGTAATCAGTCCTGTGACATTTGAGGACTCAAAATACTGAACTCCTTTGTCATCAGTAATCAAGCATCACAGGAAGTGTAGAAGACTGAAGAGCTGGCTTCCTGCTGAGCTTCCTGGAAGTACTGTCCCTGGAAGCTGACGGGGAACTCACTCACTTGTAGAGCACACTCGGGGCACTGACGGTGGCCCGGAATCCTTGAGGGGTCTGCTCCACCTCGTAGGCGTCGCAGGGCTCGTCAGAATACTCCATGGAGTCTGCAAAGAGACCACAGCATCTCTGAATGGGGCTGCTCAGTGGAAACCGCCTCCTCCCAGCCGTCAATCACTCTCAGGGCTTAAGAAGGCAGGAAGGCGTGCAAAGAACAGCTGCTTTAGTATCCCCCCAAGTCTGCTCAGAAGACATAGAGTGAAAAGAACATGGTGGTTATTTGAAATCCTTCAGTCTCAGAACCTTGGGAAAGCAGAATTTAGTTGTTTCCTCTTAGAAAGTTAAGATGCTGAAACAACATGTTTTACTATTATTCTATTGAGATGAAGTTCACACAATATGAACTCACCCTTTCAAAGTCTAGAAGTTAGTACTTTTTAAGTACTAGGGCACAGAACTACTTGAATGAATTATTAATAAATAAGGAAGATACTAGGAGGATTTCTTCCTTAAACCTCAACATAGAGAAAAGAGAGACCAGGCAGAGTGACACATGCCTGGAGGAGTTCCAACATTTAAGAGGCTGAGGCAGGAAGAGTACTAGCCTGAGCTACATAATAAGGAGAGAGACACACACAAAGAATCAGAATGAAAAAATGGAGCTCAAGGCTCAAGGCTGACAGCACACAGTAAGAAGGATCACAGGGGAAAGTGACCCCCAAAGTTAAGGTCCAGCGGAAACCCTTAGGAACCAAAAAGGGAAAGCTGCAAAGAACCTAAGAGGCCCTGTTTATGCACTAAACCTAACCACATGGTCATTACCCTGAAAGTATTTATAACCCATCTCAACTATTGATCTTATTTACAAAATAACCATATGTAAAATAAAGTTAGGTGTGTCTCTGGAACTGTCAATGCATGACTACAAAGAAGAAAGAAAAATAACATAACAACAGTTAACATTATCTGACACTGAACTAAATCCTTCACATGTTTATTTCAATAACTCTTATTCTTAGCCAGGCATGGTGGTACACACCTTTAATCCCAGCACTCAGAGTCAGGAAGATCTCTATTAGTTCATGGCCAGCCTGTTCTACACAATGAGTTCCAAGACAACCAGAGCTACATAATAGAGAGACTCTGTCTCAAAAAAAACAAAAAAAAATGCTGAGCCGTGGTAGTGCATGCCTTTAATCTCAGCACTCAGGAGGAAGAGGCAGGTGGATCTCGGAGTCTATAGAGTGAGTTCCTGGACAGTCAGAAATACACAGAGAAATCCCGTCTCAAAATAAATAAATTAATAATAATAATAATAATAATAATAATAATTTATATTCTTTTACAATTTCACAGGTAAAGGAGCTTAATTTTGGCACAGAATATTAAAAGTTAATAGTAATAACTAACTGCAATTACTTGACATGGGGGCTTTGCAGTTAGCAGCCCTTAATGCTCTTGCAGTTGACCTGAGTTCAGTTTCCAGGACCCACACTGGGTAGCTCACGATCACCTGTAACTCCAGCTCCAGGAGATCTAACACCCTCTTCAGGCTTCTTTGGGTACCCCATGATCATGTCTGTATATCCACATACACACACATACACATACACACACACACACACACACACACACACACCGTTAAAAGTAATAATGAATAAAATTACTCCTCATGGCATTTTTTGAAATGAATTGAAATCTATCTCAACATAGGAAATGCAACCAAGAATGCCTCATCTGAGATCAGCTTTGCCAGGAGCCCTGAACAGCAATAAAACAAAGAATTGCTGACCTAAAAGCAAGAAGGATTACCTCGATAGTAAGCCTCATCTTCTTCATGCTGATAATTTTTTTCCTGGATGGGATTCTTCCTATAATTCCGTCCATCGAATGTTATAATCTGTGGGCGCAGAACATCCATGACACTGTCTCCAAATGACAGTCTAGTAGAGTCCTGAAAAATAAATCGTCCTTTTACCATTTTTTTTTAGAATTAGAAATGAAAGGTTAGGTCAGTAAGATGGCTGAACAGGTAATGGCACTGGTTCCCCAGGTTAATGACCCGCGTGGTGGAAGGAGAAGACTCCTACAGTTGCCACACAGGCAGACAAAATAAATAATGTAATTTAAAAAATTAAATAAAAACCTCCATTAGATGGACCATTATGTAGGCCCGAATGGACGTAACTGGGCGGTAGTTCATAGCACATCCTAAGTAAAAATAGTGTCACTTTCCGCTGGCCAGCCACTGTGTGTAAGCTCTCAGAAGGCAAGGACTGCCTTCTCCACCATCCTATTACACCTCCTGACTCACTCCAGACAGCCATGTGTAATCTATGTATCAGCCCTCCCGTAAGAGGCATTGGTAGTATACAGCATGCCAGGGACTTTGAGAGACTACAGGTATCTTTAACCTAAGCGGATGCAGTCTTGATATTTATTTAACCATGTGCAAAGTGCTTCATTCTTTCTTTCTTTTCAATATAATAATACAACGAGGAATCATTCATACAATACCCATGGAAGAGCGCTAAGTGCTTTTAAAGGTGCTAGAAATACACACCTAAGCAATCCGACCTAATTTCCCTATCAAAGTACAACTACCATTCTCAGACCAACACATTGGTGAGAAGGAACAGTTTCTGGAGGTCACTGCCCAACGGACTGCATCCCCTACTGAGAAAAGTGAAGCTTCTCGTCACCACCTGAATCAACAGTTAGGAAACAAAGGCTCCTTATGAACTAGCGGTGGTTAAGTCCAACCCATGTTCCCATGACAGGGGGCTGAGTCTTCAAGCCCATGTACTTAAAGGGGCCAAAGAAGCCATAGCAATCCCTTCCAGATAAATGCGTGGTCCAACCCTCTACCCGGTCGGTCGCTAAGCGGTAGCCGCTCGCACAGAACCAAGGTGAGGGTTTGTGCTTCTGAGAACACAGAAAGTCAACGTGGACGAGAGGGTGCAATTACCAACAGTCTTGGGACACCCTGGTGTGCTATTCTTTAGCATCCCCTCCCCGCTTCAACAAATAAGCGCTTGTACAAAAAGTCGTCTTTATATAGGGTACGGGCCCTGAGCGCGAGGCTGGCTGTGATGCATGCTCCTCTACCTTTCCCGCGCAGCTCCCGGCAGAGAGGCTGCGCAGAAGGGCGGAACCCCCCCCCCCCAGCCCTGTGTCTCGGGGGTTTGGAGAGGGAGGGGTATCTATGTCTTCGTGTAATTATCGTTTCGTGGGAGGAGCTGAAGTCCTGAATCGAAGAAGTAAACAAAGAACCCTTACGCCAGAAGCAGGGATCAGACAACACCGACCGCGTGGCAGCAAGAGAACCAGGACCACGCGGAAAATGACCGGGTGGGAGCCACCCGGAAGTGCTCCCCGAAAAGCATCGCTCTCGCCCAGCCCCGGCCACGCCCTCGCTGCGCATGCGCGATAGCGCCGCCCCTGGGATTTTTTTTTTTTTTTTTTCCCCCACAGCCACAGGGGCGGGCGCACGCCCGCCATAAAATTCCCCACCGCGCCCGGCGGGCGGGCGGGCACGCGCACGCCGCCGTCTACGTCGTCGTAGCGAACGGAGCCGCACGGCTCGCTCCAGGGGGCGGGGCTGCCGGGCTTTAAAGTGCACGAAGCGACTCGGGTAAGTAGCCCAGGCTGCCAGAAGCGTCGGGGTGGTGGTTCTGGACCCTACCTGCCGGGACTAACAGAGAGAGAGGGTGGAAGGAGAGACCCTTCCGGAGGCTCACCCGCGCCGGGCGTGTGCAAAGGCCAGGTCCTCGGACTGAGCATGCGGGCCGAGGGTTGGCGCCTGCGCAGTGGGCCGGCCGCGAGTCTCGGCTTCCTCCCGAACTGCCGGGTAGGGTGTGAGCCTCGGGTGGAGTTAGCGTAGCCAGGGCTGGTGGTGTTGCTGACTCCTCCCCGACCCGGCCTGGTTCTTCGTTCCAGCCAAAGGGCTGCTTGCTACCTCTCTCTGTTTGATTCGGGTGGTGACCCGTATGTTCCGGTGGAACACACTGGAATGATTTTGTTGGTCGAACCCAACGGTTGTCATAATTAGCCTTCGTACTGGATCCGAAGCGACTGAAGCGTCTGGTTTTTTCCGAGACTTAATTTTTAAGAAGGATCTCTTGTTTTTGTTTGTTGTGTGTGAGGAAATAAGCAGAAAGTAATTTATGAGTGCAAGGTCATCTCTGTCGTACACCAAGTAAGTAATTTAACCAAGCCATATTGTGTCCCACAAATACCATTACTTTTCCTATGACAGCCCCAGTTTCTCTCATAGAGCCAACTTCCAGGATACTCAATCATCAGCATGCAGCCAAGTTTTACTGAGCGCCTCTTACACGGGCCTAGCAGCCTCCTGGTAGGCAAAGTTGTATACTCCACACAGTGAGAGAGAAAAAAAAAAAACAGAAAGGACTGACCTTCATGACTCCAACCATCTCGGTCCCCTGCAGTCTCTACTGAGCTGCCAGTTCTTGTTTTATTATTTATAAATCATTCACCCAGGAAACATTGTGATAAGGGTTTTTTATACGATGCCTCAAGGATACAAAGGTGATTTGTGTTCTGCTTTCTAACTCGACAGGATTCTTCTCACTGCCTCACACACTGAACTATATATCTCCAGACCCAAGACTACAGGCTAGTTTTGTTTTTCTTTTTCTTTTTCTTTTTGGTTTTTCGAGACAGGGTTTCTCTGTGTAGCTTTGCCCCTTTCCTGGAACTCACTTGGTAGCCCAGGTTGGCCTCGAACTCACAGAGATCTGCCTGGCTCTGCCTCCAGAGTGAGTGCTGGGATTAAAGGCGTGCGCCACCACCGCCGGCTCAGGCTAGATTTTTACATGTGTGTGTGCCCATGCATGTGGAGGCTTGAAGCTGATGTCCAATGACTTCCTCCATAGCTTTCATAGCTTCCCTGAACCCAGAATGTGACCATTCCCGCTAATCTAGCTAATCATCTTGCTATTGGGAATGGCTTATCTTCAACTCCCAAGTGCTGGGAAGACAGGCACCTTCGCGTTCGTGAGTTCGAGGGGTCCCTGACTCCTCCAGTGCGAGCACGTTATCCATGGAGCTGTCTTCCCGGCCCCCCTGCTGAGTTCTTAATAAGATGATACACCAAGTGAACCTGCTGACTGAGGGGGTATAGCCCGGTGGTAAAATGGGTGAAGTGCATAACAGATAACGTCGTCAGCAGACGGAGACCCTTCTTCCCTTCCAGGAGTTTTCACATAGCTATGTCAAAGAGAATTTAACTTTTCCTAGGAGTACATGTGGTCGAAATTAATAGGTATGAGAAACTGGGCTCCGCATAGGGAAGGCTGGGTGTTGGAGTGCATACCCGTAATAGCTGTAATTCGGACACTTAGTAGGCCCACCCCGCAGGATCTGGAATTGAAGAACGGTCTGGGCTACAAAGCCAGAGTCTTAAAGAAGGGAAAAAAAGGTGCCAGTGTCTATTACTGACTTGTGTTTTGTTTCTAGTTGCTTTGCCTATTTGATTTAATCTTCATGCCACTTCTATAAGGCAGGCACTATTATTGATTGCATTTTACAGGTGAGGCAGCTAAGGAAAAGTCATTTGATTTGTCTAGTCACACAGCAGATAGCAAAGCCAGGATAGAGACCTGGGCAGGCAGCTGTTTATAGTCAGCTTGTGTGTGTGTGTGTGTGTGTGTGTGTGTGTGTGTGAGAGAGAGAGAGAGAGAGAGAGAGAGAGAGAGAGAGAGAGAGAGAGAGAGAGAGACCCCGACCGACCAAGGAGGCCAGAAGAGGGCAGCAGATCGCCCAGAGCTGGAGTTGCAGGTGGATGTGAGCCACTAAACTTGGGTACCGGAAACCTAACTCCAGTCCTCTGCAAGAGCAGCAGGCACCCTTAACCTCTGGGCCACCTCTTCAAGCCCCGTGGTCAGACCTTCATCGCTGTGCTGGCTCGCCCTCATGCACAGCAGCACATCACCAAGCCATTGCTTCAAAAATTAGACGGCCGTTGGGAAGTCAGTGGTTCCTGTGACCTGTGTAAGCATTCTATGAACACACTTAAAGGAGTGGCTACCCAGAGTTACACTCATCGCTTACTTAGTCCCTGTGCTCAGCATTTACAACCTAGGGTTTGTTGTTAGCTTAACTTCTATTTACCCCTTAATGATGGCATTCAAAACTAGAGACTGAAGGTGTAGCTCAGAGTGGACCATGCACAGGGTCCTGGCTTCTATCGCCAACACCAGCAAGAGAAAAAAATCACAAAAACCTTAAGCAAATCTTTAGAAGCAGACATCTTGCAGATATGTCTCTGCAGACAATGGCTTATTTAAAGTTAACCTTGTGCTGATTTCGAGCTCTGTTTTCCCACCCTGACTGTTTTGTGTATGGAGCTATACTGGTTCTGAGACTTGGGAAGAAAATAGGATGAAAGGAAGTTCCTTTGATGACCTTCAGTTTTGGAGTCACTGTGGCTAGCCTTTGAAGCTGGCTGGCCGCCGCCTGGGTGCTCTATTGAGCAGCTGATCTCAAAATACAAAATACAAAGCATCAGCAACTAAATAGAACATTATCAGGGTGGAAGTTGAAAAGATCAGAGTTTAAAATCGTAGTTGAGAAAAATAAACAGTTCTCAGGGGGTTCTGCTCTGAACTGGGGGGAAGTCAAGCCAGAGCTGCTCTCCGGGGAAGTGGCTGAGTGGTCTGTGTCCTTCATTTGAATCCCACCAGGGATCTGGTTAGAGATTTGGACCTGGTCCATCAACTCTTGTCTCTTTTAAGGAACACTAAAAACTTTACCAGGCTATATTTTGGGACAGTGTGGTGCAAAGGAGCAATTACAATTCCACATGAAAGGTTGCTTTCCCTGATGGGTGCAAGTACAACTCAGAAAGTAACCTAAGAGCAAAATTAAGGGTGTCATTAATGAGCTGGCATTGTGGCCACGCCTTTGACACCTGCACTGAGAAGCAGGGGGAACTCTGTGAGTTCAAGGCCAGTCTAGACTACATAGCGAGTTCCAGGATAGCCAGGGCTACACCGTGAGAAGCTGTTTCAAATTTAAAAAAAAAAAAAAAAAAAAGGAGCCAGGCGGTGGTGGTGGTGGTGGTGGTGGTGGTGGTGGTGGTGGTGGTGGTGGTGGTGGTGCAGCACACCTTTAATCCCATCACTCGGGAGGCAGAGGCAGGTGGATCTCTGTGAGTTCAAGGCTATCCTGGTCTACAGAGTGAATTACAGGACAGCCAGAACTGTTTCACAGAGAAACTCTGTCTCAAAAAAAAAAAAGGGGGGGTGTTAAAAAAAATCATTAATGCATTTGCACTAATATAATAGTCTAATGATAGCAGTAGCCTTACAGTTTCATTGTTCTATGTCCGTGTTCATTAGTGCAACCTATGCATGGCCGTATGGTGGAACTAGAAACCAAGCTCTGCTTCTCTGACAACCACACATCACTGCCATAGAGTCAGGAAACAGCAGCCACCATCTCAGACGTCGTTTACCATTTTCCTTAGAAGGAAACCAGATGCTCTGGACATTTACAGTAACAAAGCATTCTTTAGTATTTTCCTGTTTTAAAAACCAAGAGTGTCAACTTTGTAAGTATTGTCAATTGAAACTAGTGCCTCAAATCCTGGAAACTTGTGCTCCACCCCTGAGCTGGACCCGAGCCTTCAACTTTTTATAGCAAGTATGTCAGAACTAGGGTCGGGGGCAGATGAGTGAAAACTATCCAGCAAAATTCTCTCTGACCGTAACAGAGGGGAGCTGGGTTTTTTTTGTTTGAGGGTTTTTTGTTTTGTTTTGTTTTGTTTTTTTGGTTTTTCGAGACAGGGTTTCTCTGTAGTTTTGGTGCCTGTCCTGGATCTCACTCTGTGGACCAGGCTGGCCTCGAACTCACAGAGATCCACCTGCCTCTGCCTCCCGAGTGCTGGGATTAAAGGCATGTGCCACCGCCACCCGGCAAGGGCGGGGATGGGGGGGGGGAGCTGTTTTTGTTGGAGGTTTGTGTTTGTTCAGTTTGGTTTTTCTTGCTTGTTTGTTTGTTGGGGTGTTTTGGGTTTGGTTTGGTTTTTTGAGGGATCCCCCATGAATCTCAGATTGGCCTTGAACTTGCTATAGAATCAAAGAGGAACATGAAGTACTGCTTCTCCTACCTCTGCCTCCCAGGTGCTAGAATTCTACTCCTTTGCCACCACACCTTGTTTATATGGTGCTGGGAACTGAGCCCAGGGCTTCTGCATGCTAGGCAAGCACTCCACTAACTGAACAAGCTCCCTGGCCCTGGAAA